GGAACAGATCTCCATGGATTTTGTGATTGGCTTGCCGAGGACACAAAAGGGTACGGATTCGATTTGGGTTATAGTTGACAAATTAACCAAGTCAGCACATTTCTTCCCTGTTAAGACTTCATTTAATGCCGATCGACTTGCCTTGTTATATATGAATAAGATTGTTAAACTTCATGGAACGCCGATGTCCATCGTGTCAAACCGAGATCTGAAGTTTGTTTCTAGATTTTGGCAGAGTCTACAAGGAGCTTTGGGAGCCGAATTGAGGTTTAGCACAGCTTTTCATCCCCAGACCGATGGGCAAACAGAAAGAACGTTTCAGACACTTGAAGATATGCTCAAATTATGTGTATTGGACCTCAAGGGAAGTTGGGAAGAGCATTTGCCATTGGTAGAATTTGCCTACAACAACAGTTATCAAGCTAGCATTGGCATGGCGCCGTATGAAGCTCTGTATGGAAGGAAGTGCAGATTACCGATATGTTGAACCGAAGTTGGAGACAAAGCTTTGATTGGTCCCGAACTGGTTCAAGTGACGACCGAGAAGATTAAGCTCATTCAACAAAGAATTAAAACTGCTTAGAGTCAACAGAAGAGTTATGCTGACCAGAGAAGAAGAGAGTTAGAATTTGAAGATGGGGATCATGTATTCCTGAAGATTTCGCCGATGAAAGGGGTTTCAAGATTTGGGAAGAAAGATAAATTAACACCTCGTTATATTGGACCATTTGAAATTCTTGAAAGTGTTAACCCAGTTGCTTACAGACTTGCTTTGCCGCCAGAACTAAGTCAAGTCCACAATGTGTTTCATATTTCGATGTTGAGGAAGTATATTCGGGATCCATTGCATGTGATTGATCATTTCGAGATTGTGATTAATGAAGATTTGGGTTATGAGGAGAAGCCGATACGGATTCTTGATAGGCAAGTGAAGCAATTGAGGAACAAGTCGATACCGATGGTAAAGGTTGAATGGAAAGAACATTATGGCAAGGATGCTACATGGGAAATGGAGGAAGAAGTGAAAATCTGTTATCCGGAGTTGTTTTCGGCGCAAGGTAACTTAAATTTGGGAACCAAACTTCTTTAAGGGGGGTAGGATGTAACAACCCTCACTTTGTCTTAGTCATGCTCACGTGCATTTGCATGATCTTTGTCTTGCTTAAACTTGCAATTTTCGGACCTTGATTTGTTTTGTCTGAGTGTTGCTTGCATGTTTTGTTTCTCACTTGGTGTGAGTTAAGCCTAGGTCACACCTTTGAACCTCTTACACCTAGGACCATTTTGGAATCCACTTTAGTTGACCTCCACCTTCACCCTGGCATATTAGCCGAGATGTCATCATCTAGGCCGAGGTGTGCATCACCCAGACCGAGATATGCATCATCTAGGCCGAGATGCTATCATCTAGGCATCCAACATTCTTGAACCTTGCACCTAGTGACTTTGTGTCGGGACAGGAATGACCTAGACCGAGGTGTGGCATATATAGGCCGAGATATGGCACAGCTGGGCCAAGTGTTATCCTTCCTAGTCGAGATCATTGAGACCTTACTTGCCGAAGCCTTTGTCCTAACCCGAGATCATTACCTGCCAGAGTGCCCATGTCACCTTGCTTGTTGTATACACTTTGTCATGCTTTTGTCTTGTCAATCAGTCACCTTTTGAGAAAAGCCAACCAGCCGTTGCCACGTGTCCCAGCAGAGGGTTAAGTCAGTCGACAGTAGAGAAAACATATCATTTGTTGTATCTTTGTCCTAGGAAAAGAGAGAAGCTCTGGGAAGAGGAAGAAGGAGTTCTTGAAAGAGAAGTAGATTTTCAAGCTTAATCCTTAGAGTCTAAACCGTTTGATCCGTATTTTGAGGTTAGATTCTTGATTTGCTCTTGTTGTTCTCCATGTTCATCTAATCACATTGCATGATCTAGCATTATGCATGAGTCATGCATTGATGTAAAGTTTGTTTTAGAAAGAGAAAATGATATTCTTGTGTTCTTGAAATAGAACCATGTTTTGATCCGGAAGTTTGTATCAAGATCCACATTTTCGCGTTTGTTTTCATGAAACCTCCAAGTATGGGTACCTAGGTCCATGTTTTCGAACTCATCTCATGAAATCTCCGATTTTGTAATAACAAGTTAAGATTTTAGCATTCATGTTCTTTATGTTCTTCATGTTCCTCGAAGGGAAATCTAGGTTTTCCCGACTTCATTTCCCTGAATGTGGTCATCGGGACCACACCTCGGCCAAGAGGTATGGGATCTCGGCCTAGACCTGGTTGGTGCCCAGCATGTTTTCCCGAGATGAGAAACAGAGTTTTAACTCCTCAATATATGTTTTGCTTTGCCTTGACTTAGTTTTGAAAGAGTGCCGAGATCATTTGCACACATGTAAAGCTTGTCTTAGGGATGCATTTCATATCCATCTTTGAACATCTCTTCTTGTCTTCTTGAAATGCATTCAATGGGATTTATTATGTGCTTGTAGGCCTTGGATCCTTACTTGTAATCCTCACATCCGAAGAGCTATGTGAGTGGTATTTTTAATAAAGCTATGTTATAAAGTTTTGCTTTGCTTTGAAAAAATATTTGATCAAGTATGAATGACTATCCCTAGTTTTGTATCAAATATTATATTTGTTTTGATGACATTCTTGGAAAGTCCTTAGTGCTAGGGGGACTATAATGCAACTAGTACCCTTGTTTTGAAAGTGCTAGGGGACTATAATGCAACTAGTACCCTTGTTTTGAAAGTTCTTAGTGCTAGGGGGACTATAATGCAACTAGCACCCTTATTTGAGATATCTCCCTTGTTTTGCCACCAGCGGTTTACCGCGTAGGTTTGTTCGGAATGTCATCCCTTTGTATTATATTGATGCTAGTAAGCATCCCTTGAAGTTTTGAAAGACTTGATAGATGAACTTGGTTCATCCCTTGATTTTGTACAAGTTATGATATGTATTGTTTTGATAAAGATCTTGGATATCATTAATTTTAAACCTTTATTTCTAATATCATTCACTGAGTATCCAACCTCACCCTCTTTCTATATATATATGTAGGTGACGAGAAAGAAGGCGGTGACGCCTAGATGATTATTTGCAAGTTGTTTTGGATTCATAGTTTGTAGCATCTTGAAGATTATGCTTCTTGGCTTGGTTGTTGTAGTTCGTTTTGTATATGTCGGCTTGAGAAGCCTTTTGATCAAGATGTAATATGTATTTGTTTTATTCAAGTTGTAAAACCACGTTATGTATGACATTTTATTTGATCTATGCACAGCTCTTGTGAACTATTTAAATTTAAATTTATTACTTCCGCATATGTGAGCCCCGTATGTATACTCTGATTGTGTGTGACTTTGTAAGTTGACCTTTGGTAATCTCAGATTACTGGCCATCATGGCACCATTCTACTAGGGGCGGAATGGGGTCGTGACAAAATCATTCTTTACATATTTGAACCGAAATCCACACTCAACGGCATACTTGCGAAGAACCGTTCGAAACTCAGCAACTCCCCCCTCAAAACTTTGCCCAACATGTTAAATCTCATTAGCCCACGAAGCAGATACATGAGGACAAAATTTGGCTAATAAATCTTGTTCATCATTCACGTCCATCTCATCAAACGGACCATACGTCTGACATGGGACAGTCTGTGAATTGTGAGGCGGGCTATCAATATTATTTGCATCTTCGACGTCTTGCAACTGAATGATGACGTCAACACATTGTAGGGGAAAAGACCGCACAAGTGAGACCATGTTTTCTATATCAACATCGTTCTTCAACGTGAAGTTATTGTAATATGGGATTTTGAAAAACAAACACACATTCTCGGCTGTCAGCCCCAAAAAATTGCCATACACATGGTTCACCAGATCATGGTAACGAAACGGGGCTTGCAAATTGACGACGGCATTTGTATTACCGTAACAACAAACCAACATCACATGAGTGTCCATTACTTGTATACATTTAACATAACATCAATAACATAACCCATACCAGACGATGTCACACAACTCCCCCCGACTACCACAACCCGAATCCAACCAGTGCCACAAATCCTTTACCAAAAAAATACACTCAACCCACCTATGAGTCCCCTACCTCCCCAGTTCATCGACTACAACACTTACTGTCGTCAAGTCGTAACACATTTCAGACCCACCCAACCACTTCGAAAACAAAAACGATGACACCCTGACATGGATACAAAGAACCCCATCACAAAAACTGAGACTACCAACAAAACAAAACAAAACAACTCTGCATTATTATGAAGGAAAAAAAATACATACCTACATGATAGTGAGTTTGACGACCAGAAAATGCTACCCCCTGTTGCGACGTCACACAGACGACAGACCAAACCCCCCTCCCCCAAAACAAAAAACCCAAAACCCTACTAGTCAAATTGTGGAAATGTATATCACCGAATCAATGAACTTACCAAAAATGAAGGTCATCCCACCAAAAATAACCCAATGAAATAGGAAAGGGCATAAGTGTCCCAGCCTCACTACTAAAGTTGGAAAATAGGATCAGATAGATCTAAACCTCTCCACCAGTAGGACTTATCCGATAAACATTTCAAAAGTAAGACTAATTGGTATAGTTGTTTATGAGATGAGATTTATTAGTAAATATTCCTAAAAAGTAATCTAAAAATAATTTTTAAAAAATCAAACAAAATAGATTTGGCATTTAAAAACCCACTTAAATCTATAATAATAATAATAATAAAGACGAGAGATAAAATAAGGATGCAGATTTTTTTCAAGTTTAAAATTTAAACTTGACTAACCTGTTCTGAATTATTCATTTGGACAGTGTGTAAGAGTGTAACAAGGCAAGAGTAAAATAGAAATAAAAAATATTTCAAAATAATAATTTATCATTTTCATCAGAACATCTCATCACCGACAAAACAAATAAATTCACAAACCAAATGTCATAGACACCCATGAAAATGACTTTTCACCATTTTTTTAAAAAAAAATTTTAAATGATCGTACGTTACAAAAATTGATAACATGACCTAATTAGAGAACATCGAAAGCTGTAGATTTCACCATTAAAAGACACAATTATTACCTAACAACATATGGAGCTTGTTTTCACCCAATTTTACAAAAATACCTTTTTCTGCAGTGTTTTTCTGAGAAACCAAACACCCTGCATTCTTTTTCTCCAATCCTGTCAGGTGGTGCACCAAAGAAGACTAACAAAAGCTTAGCAAACCTTCCCTCTCCCTTCCCTTCCTTTTGGTAGGAGCAATGTGCATTGCCCGAGCAAAGAAAAAACATGAAAAGTTCTTGAAATACTGAATATTATGTGCTTTTTAACTTCTTCCTCATAGATCCTCTCTTGACAGTTCTCGATAACTGAGCAGCTTCAGCGGCATAAGTTCTGAGTTTCTCCAGAATTGTTCTCTCGCTCACACGCAGTGTGAGAGAATGGTACAACTTCCTATCTTTAATGCGACAACACTTCTTCAAAGCTTCAATATCATCTTTTAGTGAATTTGAACCATAAAAACTCTCCCGGATATTAGCAAGCGACAAAAGGGCATTACTCACACTTTCGATCAGCAGCAAATCCTTGCTCATTTCCGGAGCTTTTTCCATTGCAATATTGCCTCCTTTTTGTAAAATAACGGTTAGAGATTCTTTTAAATTCCCTGCCATTGATACTGTGAGATCCAGTTGCTGATACGCTTCGTCCGGTAATAAAATTATATAAAGTAAAATCAGCAGCTCGACTTGTGGTTCCCCGTTGGATGAGATTTCGAAATATTCAGAGTTCTGGCTCTCACAACCAGAGTAATCTAATCTCCTCCACAGTGAAAACCTGACTCGATTGTGTCGGCCCGAAAACAAAGATGAACTCCATTGAAGTACCAGTTCTAAATCTATGTTGACAATGTCATATGTATTATCAACCTCTGTAAATCCATATCTATGTAGCAGTGCAGCATTACCCAAGACTCCATATGTATTGAAGACCTGAAAAAGCAGTAACAGGTATTCATGTGAACTTATTACTGGGAAGCAATATAAACATACTGGAGGAAAAAAAAAATTAAAAATTTAAACAGTAAGATTAAAAAACACCCGTTGAAAATAAAAATCAAGGGACCATGCTAGAAAGAAGAGAGGATATTAGAAAAGCTTCAATCTATATTAATTCAATGGACTCTATCATTAAACATGGAGCTTTATCAAATTAACACAAGGGCAACGACAACTAAGCCTGTACTAAACCAGCTCAAAGCTGATGCAACCTTCTTTTCCATCTTTTGAGACCATTTAACCGATTACATGGAGATGGTACTCAAGAAAGTCCATACAGGTTTTCAAACTGAAAAATGAACCAATTCTCAAAGATATTTACCGTAGAAGGGTATATTTCACTTACCTATCCTGCAGTTTGGTGAAATGGCAGCAAGCCCCAAAAGGTTAAATATTAATTTATTTTTTATTTTGTAATTGTGTATTACTTATTATTCGTGTTATTGTTATTATTGTTTACACATTAATTATCAAATAATATATATATATATATATTTTTAAAAAGATCCTAGGGCAAATATTGTCGATCTTGATAATTTGGAGGCATCCACACCATCACAAACTGGCCATGAGTCAATCGGTTCCCCTCCAGTTGTTGCATCAACATCTAGGGGTCGTGCTAGTTCTAATGTTTGGGATCCGTTTTAAAATATAATAATAATGGAACCAGTTCCTTATGGAAATATAGAAATTAAAGCAAAATGCACAATTTGTCATGAAGTTATTAAATTTAATAGAAGATCAACAAGAGATGACTAGTTATTTTAAAAAGACAGGTTAATAATCATTTACAAAGTACAAAAAATGATATTAGAATTCAAATGCAATTTAGATAAATCACAAATGAGTAATTTAACTACATTTTCTTATAGTCATTCTTGTAAAATTTTATGAAGATTCGATTTTTATAATTTTTGTAAACTTCGGGGTGGAGTAATGCAAATGATCAGTGGGCTTGTAGGTGATGCTAGCCCTAGTCATGGGCCAACCCCGCTTGGGAGAATCGAAAAGGATAGGTAACAGCCAAACAGATTGCAACATGGGTTTTCCCATGTAAATTGGGCGACCCATTAGTTTACTGGGTGATCCATTATTTAACACATTCAATAGTGTGTTGGGTTATTACTATTATTTTTCCTATATCAGTATATCTAACAGCGGCACTGAGGGCATTTTAATTGATTGATTAAAAAAAACAAGAAACAATATTCCATTCAAAAACGGGTAAGAACAAAGGAGGCCCTTTCCTATTCACAAACCTTCAGAGAAGTAGGTAAAATTAACCAACTACAGAATGTCAATATAAAACAATATCAGCCTCCTTTTGCCAAAAACCAAATTAACAGACTTCAATTTGTGAATATAAAAAACACACTTTGCACATATTTAAATAATGTTTCGAGAAATTTATTTCAAAATCTAAGAAAAAGGGTCTGCAAAAGAAAAGAAAAGGTGCTAACCTCAGCCCCATTTTTGACATCTTTCACGATAATCATTTCCAAAACTGTGGGATCATCCCCAGAAGCAGAAGAACACTCCGAGTTACCACCATTAGAAGCACCCTTTCTTGATTGAGAATTTTGAGATAATTGTTCACGGTCACCAATATTTTCATTCTCATCTCTTTCGTGGTTGTCTTCACTATCATCCATACTTTCATACTCATCACTTTCGTGGTCGTCTTCAGCATCATCTTCACGTGCAAGATGAGAAGATATAGAGGTGAAGTGCACATCTTCAGCTCCTGTTTTGTGATTGAAACTGGAAATCATTAAAGAATTAATGAATCAAGCAACTTTTTGACGAGATAATTTATCAAGAAATTCATTTTTAAACAAAATACAAGTCAAGGAAATAAGAGGTTTCAATAAGCAATTCATACCTTAAAAAAACCGCCATAAGCTTTTTTTACATGCATTTAGTAATGATGGAAGCTTATGAACCACAGATAATTCTGTAAGGGAGTCACTATATCCGTATTTACCCATATTGAGACCAAAACTCCTCAGATACTTGAAAATCCTTACCCGATATCTTCTAAGCATATCCACAATTAAAATTAATATTCTTTAATTTTAAATTAAGTATTGGATATTGTTTGGACACTACTGATCTCTCTTGAAATTGAGATGTGCCATGCAGCATTAGATTATAACTGTGAGAATGAATGCAAGAATACTGCCCAATACTTTGCATACTCCTTCAAGAATAAAATTTTAAAATCTATATAATAAAACAACAATTTTTTAAAATGTCTATGAGATAAAATTGGTTACAACAGCTCATATTGATTTCACTTGAAAATCTATGGTCAGATTTCTTCACCAATGTTCAGATTTGTCTCTCAACTTTTGCTGTCCTGCCCAAAACAGATTTGTGGGAACATCCAAGATTGCTTTGATCAGACAATTGTCTTTGGCACTTCTCCACCCTCTCTCTTTACGTTCCTATCTCTCTCCTCTCTCACCAAACCACTGCTCTCTCCCTCCCACATCCACTTTCTCTCCTCCCTTTTCCCCCTGCACCACTGCCTCACGCATACTCCTAACCACCACCCTCTCTCCACTCTTCAACTCCAATGTACAGCCTCTCTCTTTGCAACAGTTGTAACCCCTCCCTTCTCTCTCTCCACTCTCCGACTACAGTGAAGACCCACCCAGCCTCAGCCACAACAACCCATCCTTCCCCAGCAACCTCTCCTTCCCCCTCAAACCCTAGCCATAGCTCCCCAATCTTTTGCTCCTTTCTCACTGTAGCACTCCTCAAGCAAAGGATCCCTACCAGTTTGGCTAGAGACCGAGTGATTAGGAAAAAGGGGAGATTGGAGGGGTTATGCACAGTGGGAGTGAGGGTGGTGCATACAGGGGGTGATGGCTGAGCGAGGCAATGGGTGAGGAGGTTGTGTGATACAAAAGAGAGAGGGTTGTGGTTGTTTGTGGCGGTAAGGTTGAAGGTGTTGGTCGTGCAGTGGTGGAGAAGTGATAGAAGAGGAGGGGAGGGGAGTTGTGCCTTGACAGTGAGTCTAGCATATATTTGGAATTGATTTTCCCATGGGCCAAAGAAAGAACAATAATTTTTACTTCAAGAGGTGCATATGCATCGCAAATCATCATATAAGGCTCAAAAAGTGTTACATTTGGATTATTAGTAAGTATAACCAAACCCCCCCCCCCCCATAGTCATAAAAAAAAAAAAAAGAAATTACCTGAAGAATAAAAATTCCTCTTATAAACACCCTCAAGGATGACTAATAATGAAAACAGAATATTAGCCTCATGATTATTAAGATTACTAAAAAAATTGAAATTCCACGATATATGAGGCACAGAAGACACTGGCATCGAAGCAATGAGGACATTCTCATAACGAATCAAACGATGGTATCAAGGAAACAAATTATTAAATGAGTTCTCACTAGTCCACACATCTTCTCATAAACAAACCATTGGCTTGAATCTCATATTTACTTTTAATTACAGAATACCACAAAGAGTCTCTTTCCAAACGAAACCTCCAATCATTTAGCATTATGATATCCTAATTTGATAATCATTCATTGATAAAGAAAGTTCAAAGTAAAATTCTACTCTTTTTCTTTTTCTTTCCGGGAAGTGAAAATTCTTCTCCTATTTGAGCAAAAATTAGAAAGGGAAAAGGTCTATCAGCAGTGTTTCATAACTGATGCTGTCCTATCAAATTTGGGGATAATTTCATAACAATAACATAAAACAGTGATGTTCTGGCATGCATTAAACAGAAAACAAGAAGCCTGCAAATGCTAGTATTATAACAAGAAAGAATAAACACTGCCGATCAAAAAAAGAAAGAATAAACACATAAATAAATCCATGTGCACGGATCTGGAGATATTATTGGAGACAAAATTAAAAGAAGCCAGATGAGATAGATTTACTACACACAAGTATAAATTACAAGACTTCTAAATAGCAAAATGGATCAAATCAAACCACTGTTAGAGCAATGGGATGGAGCCTATGAAGCACGGACACGGACACGCGACACGACACGGACACGCAAATTTTTAAAAAATAGGGGACACGACACGCTGGGGACACGTTAATATATATATTTAATTTTTTTTATTATATGTCATAAAATTATAAAAAAAAAATCATTAAAAAGAAGCCTGCAAATGCTAGTATTATAACAAGAAAGAATAAACACTGCCGATCAAAAAAAGAAAGAATAAACACATAAATAAATCCATGTGTACGGATCTGGAGATATTATTGGAGACAAAATTAAAAGAAGCCAGATGAGATAGATTTACTACATACAAGTATAAATTACAAGACTTCTAAATAGCAAAATGGATCAAATCAAACCACTGTTAGAGCAATGGGATGGAGCAAAAAGAATGTGAGCTTTGGTAGTCAGAAAGGAAACAAAGCCTATGCTCTAATGTGACATAAAACACAATGGTGAAATATTGATTGTGTACATTAGGATCTCCATAACAAACACCGGATGTTTGACGAGGTTTAAGTTGGTTTGTATCACCTTGGATGCAAACATAATAATTTTCCAATGACATAACCCAAAGAATCATGTATGCATCTATACACAGTAAATAGTACCCAAGAAAAAAAACAACAACAACAACAATACATGTCAAGATCATTCATTTCAAGAATACAGATCCACAACTTCCTAGATAACCATATCCAGTTAAAAGGCTTAACTTACAGATCTGCCAGCGGAACCATCCCAAATCCATAGTAATCATCTATTTGAAAAGAGCGAGAAGCAATAAGACTTTTTGCTGCGAGGTACTGTTCAACACCGAAGAAATCTGGATTAAGCTCTACAGGAGCTGAAGCCAGAAGAGGCTGAATACACTCTTCCCAGTCCTCATAGATGAGAGCCTTGTCTTCTTTAACTATCTGCCTAGGAAACATATATCAGAATGATCAAAGGTATGAAATTATCAAAAATCGAGCAGTCTCTAATCCTATATTACACTAAAAAAAGCTTCAGCTGTAATAGACTATCAAATATGCAAGATAAGCTAACAAATGGCCGAAACAATAAAAAAACAATAACTCATTAAGATATTAGTCATAAAATTCAAAGAAACTTCCATCAATTGTGCAGGTCTCAACTTCAGAAGTTAGAATAACAATCTTTCAATATGTCCAATGATTGTTAATTGCAACTAAAATTCAACCACGCGTGTCAAAAAATCACACAGCAGCATGATTGTTTAGATAAACAACAAAAAAAAACATCCCTTTTAAGTTACATTGCCAACATGACCCAATTAACACAAAGAAAAGACGATACCCAATACTATTTTCCATATTTTAAAGCCAAAAACTATGTTGCAAACATAGTTTTGCAATTATCTATTCTATCATGTAATGTAAAGCACACACCCCATTGGATGTAAACAATGTTACTTTTTTCTTTTTTCTGTCACATTCAATAACCACTGAACAGTTTTCTCATTCATCAAACTACCCAAAAAAGCCATGTAATTTCTGTATAAAGATTCTGTTTGTACAGCATTACCCAACTACTACTAAACGGTTTTACTTCAGTAATGAAATCGCCATTCAATCATCAATCAAACCATTCAAAAATTTAAATACAAAATCACAAACACATTACCGCTACGCTAGTGTAAGTGTAAAGTTTACCTTGTGAAGCTCAGTGCCCAATAACAGAGAATCAACTTCCTCCAAGCTCCAAAGCATTGGAATACACTCATTCTCCGGCAACAACTGAAGATAACCGAACCAAGGGGACTGGTGTCCCAAGCCCTTCTCGTACATGAGGGCCACCGAGAGCCCCAAATAGCCCTCAAGACCGGCTGTCTCGATCAAATTCCGAGCACCTGAGGTCTTGATTGTGAGGCACGAATGCTTGGGTATCGTCGCCACCAAATCGCCTTCGTGCAAATCGCAGAGTGTTCGCACGGAGATTCCTTCTTTGGCGTGGTCTATGAGGTTGAGAGCATCGCTGCAATCTATGCTTTGCGATCTCATCCATCGTTTGAATGCTCTCAATCGCCTGCACAGATGATGTATGTTTATCAACAAATGTATGTATACGTATACGTATATGTATATTTATATGTATAGAAAGAGGTGAACCTGGTGGTGCTGGTGGCGGCGGCGGCGGCGATGGTGGTGGAGGTAGCCATTTGCGGTGGAAGAGGGCCGCCGCCGCCGCAGTGTCGGATGTATCGTATTTTTTAATAGGGGCGACAGAGGGTGTTGGGCCAATGCAGGGCTGATTAGCCCAATGTCTTATCTAAATGGGTTGTGAGCCCATCATCAACTTTTGAGAAATTACAACTACGTCCCCGATCAATAATGATCTAAATAAGTGTTATATTTTTAAATTTTTATTTAAAAAAAGATATGCAAAGTGATAAAAAAATGATATGATCTAAATAAGATAAAAACATGTTTTAAAGTACATTATGCCAAACGATCCCTCATTCTCACTAAAAAAAAAAATGAGATACTTTTTCATAAATCTCTTTTAACCTACATATGTTCAATTTAGTTCATAGTATTTTTTTATGTTTCAATAAGTCCTATAGGTGACATATTTACCAAAACACCCCTAATAATATTCATATTTACAGTGGGAATGTTCCGTGATGTGAATGTTCACACTATCAATGTGAATGTTAACATGTCAATGTGAATATTCACGATGTAAAATATGGATGTTCACATAATCAAATTACAAACCATTCAAAAATATTTGTAAGGATATAAATGTCCATAAAATACCTTAAATATGATAATTAGAATTTGATAGATCAAATATTTAAATAATAGGATTTATTAGAATATAAGGATATCTTATAAACTAATTGAGATACAAATACTTGAAAAAAGATTTTTTAATAAATTTTTCAAAAAAATCCAATTAATTTCGTTAAAATGTATTTTAAGTAATGAACAATATAGGAAATATGGGTTTAATTTTGGATTTATCAACAAGACACCAATATTTTTGACCTCCTTTGTTGTTTTTTTATTTATTTAGTAGTATCTAGATGAATAAATGTGATTTATTTATGTATTTTGTTGAATAGACTAAAATTAAACACTAACTATATTTGGTCGTTAATTTTATTTTATTTTTTTGGAGGGAGTGGGAGGGGAGGGGTTTAAATTAATTAATTGAACAACGGTAGGATGTTTGGCCAGGTATAATCGAACTACTTTAATTTGTTTGGGCAAATTAAGGCTAAATTTGTGAGGGTGCATAAGGTTACGATTGAAATATTAAAGATTGTTATAATTTTTTTAAAAAAAAATTATATTTTATAAAATAATATATTTTTGTGGGAATGCTTGGCCAAACAATTTTTTTTTAATAGAATAAATTATAAACACAGCATTAGAAATTTGTCAAAGATATGATGGATTCTTCTTCTCACGTTCTGAAAATTACAAATATCTTAATGACAAAAAAAATTCTATGATTGATCTAACTGTATGAGTACGAAATATTTATTGCACGCGTACTCCTCGTGATCAAGCTTATACCTAGGAAGGTAAGAAAAATCAAAAAAATCGACCAAACCGGTTGAAAATGACCAAACCAGCTATATTTGATCTGTTTTTTAACAAGAATCGGTCTGTGCGGTTTTTAAATTTGAATTTTTTCGATTTTCAATTCGGTATTGATTTAAACACCTTGTGTACCGATCTAAACCGAAACCGACCATTTCAATGTATTTATAATATATATATATATGTATAAATAAAATATAATAATCTAATGATATTAATAAGTATAATAAATTATTAACCTTAATTAATTAACATTATCATATTTATATCCTAAGTTTGTAAACTTATATTATATATAATGTTAACTCTAACTCATTGTTTTTGAAACCTTCGTATTTTTATTTTTTTTCAATTTTTTTTTTTATTTTTGTTAATTTAGGAATTAAAAAGTATATATTAAATGGATAGATTGGATATGTTTGAAATAGTAGACAAATAACTAATTTAATATTTTTATATAGATTAATGATTATATTTAAAAGTGACTCAAGTTTGAAAAATTCTAAACCGATTAAACCGCACAAAATCGAACCGTTTCAATTGGTTCGGTTCAGTGCGATTTGATGTGAGAAGCGGTCTGTATCGGTGTTTAAAATAATAAAATCGGCATTATCAGTTCGGTATAGTTTTTTACCTAAATATCGACCATACCAAACCGATTACATCCCTACTTGTACCATCTCGAATGACATTGTATGGTATAGACACCTCATTTTTTACCGCACTTGCGACTTGGGCACCATCACTTGCATACCTAATGATGAATGTATATGCTTGTCAAGTGCTCGAAAGTCCTCAGCGGAATGTCATAGCTCTAAGTCTCAAAACCTTGCAAACCTTGTGCCTTGTTTTTGCACCAAAACCTCAGCCTTTCAAACCTGAAAAACTTGAGACCTGCAGGCCCATTTTTGTGGACTGCCAGCCACCCCTTTTGGCTGTCGGCCACCCTTGTACGTTGCCGGCCAAGAGTGTGGCCTGCCGGCTAGAATTGGTGGCTTATCGGCTACAAGTGTGTTTTGCAAATATTTTATGACAGTTGTGCCAGTTGTTTGGACAGATGCTTATATCCGCTCCCACGTGTATAGATGGATGTTTTTGAGGGAGTGGCCAGTTTTTCTATAAATATATGACCTCTTCTCCCATTTTTGAGGGTTAGAAAAATTGGAGCAAAATTAATTTTATTGAGCTTTTGCCTATACACTCTTAACCAAACATTGTCATCTTTGAGTTAAGGTACTTTTGAGCCTATCTTGAGCTCTTGGGAGTGTGTATGTGTTGAATTATTGCTTAAAATTGATCTTCTCTTCAAGAGGTATAAGGCTTTGCTTGTCTCATTCCTTTAGTTGCTTCTTTTCTTATTGTTTTTCCACTATTGTTGGGCTGTATAAACTCTATATCTTTGGGCTGAAACTTGTGATTTAAGACCTTAAAGCATGGAGGGGTGGTTCATCATTTTTTCCACCTTGCTCTTCTAGCCTTTACCCTTGTGTTTCCTACATTTACACTATCTTTTTTTTAAGCTTTTAAACACTGATTTTCAGAATTATTTCAGTGGCTAAAATGTTGTTTTGAAGCCCAAGATTATAAGGGTTAGTCTCCCCTCCTTGTGTCTTGCTTATTAGCCTAGCATGTTATACGTTTTAGCTTATTATTCTAGCTATTTTTGTCTTAATTCTAGCATGTTTTAGGACTGATTTAGCACTGTTTTTAAGTGTTCGTTACATTTGGGCTTTGTATTGCATGTTTATAGTGTAATTATCCTCATAGGTTTGGTGTTTTAGGCTTTAGCTACCATCCTATTTGAGTTGATAGTATTTGTTTATGGCTTTCCATACTTGTGATCACCTTTAATCACCTCTGCAACCTCCCTCATTTCTTGGCTTTTACTTTGCTTTGAAAGTTAGTTCAAACTAGTTGCTTGTTTAAAGCATGAGATTGAGGTCTTGTGCTTAATGGTTTAATCCCTTTAGGGGTTCACTACCAACGGCATGAAGCTTTTCTCATGTCCAAAACAACTTTTGGTTTGATGCTTATTTCCATTAGAGGACTTAAAGCTCACCCTTGGACTTAATGAATTAAAGAATGAAAAAATGGAATAATAAAACTTGGAACTAAAAATGATTCAAGATAATAACTTATTGTGGGTTCAATCGGACATTAATTGAACCCTTGAGTCTTGAGTCGTTTCATACTCATTAGTGATAAAAACGGTTCAAAAGTTATTGTCAACCACTTCCCTTGATCATTCATGATAGGGAGGAGGTTTAAGAGTCTTTATTTGTTGCATTTATTGAACTTGTACCCTTTTTGGTTCATAGGTCATCATGCAATGGAATTGCATTCATTGATGGTTTGTGAACCAAGTTTACTATTCCTTTGAGCTGTGCAAATGATAATGAGAGGTAAGTTGTGCAAACAAGCCCTAGAGAATACCGTATTCCTACTCTGTTTGCTTTCTATTGCAACAAGAAAATCCAGTCATCAGTGGCCGACAGGCCACCTTTTGTAGCTGGCAGGTCACCACTTCTAGCCTACCGGCCACCTCTGCAAACCAAGTAGTGTGCTTTTTCTGGCAAAACAGAGCTAATTTGAGTTAAAAAACAATGCAAGTGCTCTATTGTGCAACAAAGGCATCTGGCAGTAGGACAGTGGCCTTTTTCAGGTGGAAATCCTTGCATGTATGAGCATTCCTCGTTTCCCCAGGTAGAGTAATTAACATAGCTAGTTTAATACGTCTTTCTTATTTAGTTAATTAATTTGTAATTAATTAGTTCGTTTTAATTTGTAATTAATTAAATTAGTTAGTTAAGTTGTTGTAATAATTAGTTAGCTAGTTTAGTTGGTTATTTGATTTGTTTTGTAATTCGTAGTAATTAGCTTAGCTAGTTGGTTTATTCAGACCCTCTTGCGTGAGGGCACAAATGTTGTAATAATGTATATGCCTTACAACCCCACGTCTTTCTCCCTTTTATTTAACTACTTATGATGGTTAGTTTAGGGCATAATGTCTTGTTTAGCATCTCTCATGACTTATATCCATTGTCTTGTATGCATTAAGCTCAGCGCATCATTCTAACTTGCATTGTAATTAAACACTTCTTTAAATACGTACTTAGACCGCATGTTATCAAATTGATTAACATGCCATGTCAAGCAGCCGAGCTTATTTAAATTGCATATTGCATGTATTGCATTAGGCATTAGTTAGGAACATGCATTTTTTTAATTATTTTGCTTTGTTTGGCTTGCGTTGGAGTACTAGGCGAGTTTTTCTTTGTTTTAGCATATTACATAAGTGTAGTTGTTACCATGTCAAAGCATGTTCACCATGAGGCTAAGTACTTAAATGATAAACTGTTTGGATGCTTGTGGATGAAGGTTAGTTGCTCGAATTGGGATATTTTGATTCATGTACATTTGAGCTTACTTTTTTTTTAAGTGGCACATTCACAATCTATTTTCAAAAACAAACATGAAATCAAATATTCCAATTTTTGCAAATTAGTCTATACTTGTGTGAGTCACATAGTAATACAGCTAATAAATCGAAATAAAAGCATATAATGTAAATAAGAATCACATCATGATTAGTAGAGGCCGATCTTTGATCGGGCGAGTGGGATGCTCAATTTATGACATTCCCCTCTCGTACCTAAGTTCCCGAGCCGAAACAACTTTGGTGATGACGGACTAATGGCCT